GAGGGAGTGTGAGAGTAGGTGAGGAAGAGGGAGTGTGAGAGTAGGTGAGGAAGAGGGAGTGTGAGAGTAGGTGAGGAAGAGGGAGTGTGAGAGTAAATGAGGAAGAGGGAGTGTGAGAGTAGGTGAGGAAGAGGGAGTGTGAGAGTAGGTGAGGAAGAGGAAGTGTGAGAGTAGGTGAGGAAGAGGAAGTGTGAGAGTAGGTGAGGAAGAGGAAGTGTGAGAGTAGGTGAGGAAGAGGAAGTGTGAGAGTAGGTGAGGAAGAGGAAGTGTGAGAGTAGGTGAGGAAGAGGGAGTGTGAGAGTAGGTGAGGAAGAGGGAGCGTGAGAGTAGGTGAGGAAGAGGGAGTGTGAGTAGGTGAGGAAGAGGGAGTGTGAGAGTAGGTGAGGAAGAGGGAGTGTGAGAGTAGGTGAGGAAGAGGGAGTGTGAAAGTAGGTGAGGAAGAGGGGTGTGAGAGTAGGTAAGGAAGAGTGTGTGAGAGTAGGCGAGGAAGAGGGAGTGTGTGAGAGGCTATGAGAGGGAGAATGCATTTGAATAGGAGGGAGTGAGTGGATCAGAGGTGTGAGAACATGCGAGAAAAAGCGGAGGGGCAAAAGACAGAAGAGGCTGGAGAGAGAGGAGAGGGCAGAGTGGGTGTGAGAGAGAGTACATGTTTTAGAGTTATTGTGTGTGTGTGTGTGTGAGAAAGGAAAGCAAGGATGGATGGATGAAGATGAATAAATCTTGTTCTACTGAAATGACTCTCTACTCTGAAAAGTTTATTATAGCAAGCATTATCTTTGATCATGGAAGTAAGGTTTGATCATGGAAGTAATGTTGAATGGAGAGAGAAATGATATGACAAGCGTGGAGGATGGAAAAGTTTTTATAGGTGAGATGTTAGGAAATTGATTTGGCCGAGAAGATTGGTAGATGGAAGGATGCATGGTTGGGGATAGATGTGAAGGAATTGATTCGGCAGAGAAGACTGGTAGATGGAAAGATGTCTGGCTGGGTATAGATGTGAAGGAATTGATTCGTCTGAGAGGACTGGTAGATGGAAGGATGCATGGCTGGGTATAGATGTGAAGGAATTGATTCGTCTGAGAGGACTAGTAGATGGAAGGATGCATGGCTGGGTATAAATGTGAAGGAATTGATTCGTCTGAGAGGACTGGTAGATGGAAGGATGCATGGCTGGGTATAGATGTGAAGGAATTGATTCGTCTGAGAGGACTGGTAGATGGAAGGATGCATGGCTGGGTATAGATGTGAAGGAATTGATTCGGCAGAGAAGACTGGTAGATAGAAGGATGCATGGCAGCGTGTAGATGTGAAGGAATTGAGTCGTCTGAGAGGACTGGTAGATGGAAGGATGTCTGGCTGGGTATAGATGTGAAGGAATTGATTTGGCAGAGAAGACTGGTAAATAGAAGGGTTCATCACAGGGTATATAGATGTGAGGAAAATAGATTTGCCTGATAAGACTGAGTAGAGAGATACATGTACATAGTAAATAGGAGGATGAAATGTTTTTGGTTGGTTATGTGTTGGTTGGGTATGAGACTATAAAACTGGATGTTTGAATAGATAAAAGACTAAGTTGGTTGGCATATAGCTAGCTTGTAAAGTTATAGTAACACCTAGATAATAAAGGTTAACCCTACATGTATGTTATCACTGCTTGAATAAATACACCTAGACTAATGTTTTAACACCCTGTCTATATCAAAGTTAACTAAGCTAAGTCCTTCCACTGTTGTACTAATGCAAGTTGTATTACTACCTGATTATACTTTGCCATGCCATTTGTTAATAACATGGGTTAATAACTGATTGAAGTAACCCCCCCCCCCCTTTCCTAGTTTAAAAGACCCCCAGCCAATTCAGTAGAACAAGAACACTAGTTTGGATAGATAGAATAAAGACATAATAAAATCATAGGATGGTCTAACCTTGGCAGTTAAACTATGCTCTTCATTTAATGTAGTACTACTGCTAGTATCCACCCCAGAATCTTTTATTAGTGGCTCAGACCATTCGAGGTCTTCGTCCATAGAGCGACCCTCACCACGCCCAAAGCGAACTATTTTCTTTTTAGCAGCCGACATTTCACTTTCTGAAAGATGGCCACTTTGTTTCACGGCTTTAGTCTTATCGGCATAACTCTCTAGCTCGCCTAAATTAAAAAAATGAAACCATGCAAAAAAATGTAAATAAAAATCTAGCCAATTAATAAGATAGTAAGAGCTCACCGATGAATAAAGCTTTGGCTGTGAAGGCATTTCATCAGAATGCCATCGATCATCCCAAGATTCAAGCTCACCTGTAAAAGAGGGAAATGATAACAATGTCATATATTGTATAAACTCAAAAATATGCTTTCAGGATGCTAAAATTAATGGAGTACACAAAGAAATATGAACTTGTGTACTAAAAACACACACCGAATCACACTGATTACTATCAAAGGACATCACACATATACATGTAGACACAGTGTGCTCCACGCGTTGATTTGGTAGGGCGGGCCGCCATGGTGAAATCATACGCCACCAGGGTAAATATCGCGCCGTCAGGGTAAAAATCTTCAGCGCCATGCTAAAATTACCAAATAAGTATAAATTCAAAATGTTTTAATACATTAGTGAAAGGTCGCATTTTACGTGAACAAAAACATGCACTAAGAAGGAAAAGCAAGCCGGAGTCGAAATGGGGTGTATCATGGACTTGGTACAACATGCGCTCCGACAATTGAGTAAGCGTCGACATCATTTTGGGGCACAATTTAACTTCAAGTACTTTGCGAAACTTGCTACGCGGTGATGCTGACATCAAGTGTGTGTTGACCGAAATACGACCCCAAGTCACGGACTGAACTGGCACGTTACCATAGCAACCTTTTTCTTTCATGGTCCGCGCGTCCATCTAGTAAAATTGTTTTTACCGTCGGTATATTCGGCGATACTGTAATAACACAACTTGTATGCAACTATGTTTTGGCTTTGAATATTTCAACATCCTTTACTTAGTGTGCTGCTTTTCTAATAACGCAAATATGTTTTAACTCACAAATACCATAAATGTGAAGAGTTAACTGAAAGGCAACATCGTTTTTTGAAAAAAAAACACAAAAAAAAGCAAAACATGTCAATGCAAGATTATGTGTGCACGCTTAGATTTATAGAACGTACATGATTGCTTAACTTTGTTTTTTTAATAATCATGTTGCACGTGAAACACAGGAGACATTTTAGTTCGTCCATTTCTTGTTTACCGATCTTGAACATTTTGTCTGGAGTGCAATACAGACAAAGAATATACATTAATGATACCTACCGTCATCAAATCTACAAGAGGCTCGAATCAGAAAGGCTCAGCTATTTTAAACTTTATTTTCATGTTGTATACTTTATTCAAATGTAATAAACATAAGTGAAATGTATGGACGAGTCATAATACTCGTAATACTTCGAAAGTTACGACTTTTACTTTTGGAATTGGTGTTAAATACTTGCATAAAATGACAGAATAAGACATGTCAGCGTCACTTCCCGTCTGACACGACACAGCACGTCTGTTTGGTTTGCGAAAAGCTTCTTTTTAATACTTAACACAAATCAAAGTTGTTATTGTCAAACTAAATTGGTATATCTAAGAAACGAATGATTACCGAATTTGTACAAAAATCAAAGTACAATTTGTACGACTTTAAGTTAGTCAGTATTTTACCGAATCGCATGTGAACTAAAGACACACATTTTTGCCAACGACGTAAGCAAAATATGTAACTTTGTATGTCGTACTGTATCATTCTAAATAACTATGTTGCAATGTGACTACGTAATTTTTTTATTTAATTATATATTTTTTATATAATCAAAATGACATTGAACATAAAAAAATACATAGTTTTATTTGTTATTTAAAATGTAAAACGTTCGTCCAAATTCAAATACTAGAGTCTACAGACTAAGTTTTTTCGACCAGCTTTGTTGCAAACGCGACCACGTAACACAGAACACTATTGTTCTCTTCATTTGCATGCAAACAAAGATATCAAGGTTAATGAGCTGCTTGCGATAACGCAAAGCTAACCTGCGTTAACTAGGCATTGGCATGGTTAACGTAAGTCAATGCATTAGGTAAGCAATAGACTGTCGGGGCGATTCATTTGTTTTTGTAGTTTAAATAAGATAAAAAAATCTTATCGATTTTTTCCATTGCTGGTGCATTTTACGATGAAAAATTGCCTTGAGGTTGCCAAGATTTAGGTCGGGGAAACGCCCCAGATTGCATCTAAAGGCATCTAAATTTCAAAACTTTTTCCGGGGCTTTTTGCCCGCCAGGCTAAATTTTCAACCTGTGGAGAACACAGACAGAAAAACTAAGATACCATAAACAAGCAGACTCTCAGCAGCAATACACATTTCAATTAGATAATTAAATATCACAAAATCATCACAAAATGAACAAATCTGAGATTGGTTTACATGAGGTACCTATAAGTATTATTAAACCAAAGCCATCAAAATTGCAGTTTTCAACAAGAAGTTAAAAATTTCACTTTTTACAAAAAATTACAAAAACATTCATCAAAATTAGAGAATTGAACAAGCGACCTTGCAGTTAATAGAGCTCCACTGTAATTGACAAGTGCAGAAGGCAGTGGCAGATACGAGGTGGATAGGATAAGTGGAATCTATGACAGTTTAGTAATTGTGGCAATAGTCACTGTAAGGGTATATCTCGTAAGAGGAAACGTATTTGTCTATGTAATGCATGGATATGTATAATTGATGATGTGGGTGTACAGGAAATTGAAGCTGAAACATGAAGTTTTTGTCACTATTACCAGAATATATTTTTGCATTATTTGGCTATTGTACATGTGACTGAATTGAGAATGACAAAGTTAGACAATATGACAAAGTGACATGTGATTTTGAGATGACCTTGAAAGATCTTAACCCCTAATACACATGCAATCAACGTGCGACCTTGAGAACATTGACCTTGTGACCCTGACCTGGGATCTTCAAATGACCCTGACTTAAAGATTTGGGAGAGGTGTTTTAGTCACTCCCACCCTCACTGTTCGGTATCACCTATATAAAAGCAGCAAACATATAAACCATGAAATGACCTTGACCTGAACTTTTGAGCATTTCTGAAAAAAAAGGCCCATCCAGTTAATTTTCGAAGACAATGTGTAGACTAACCTAGCTTCCAAATGAGTTGTCTAACGTAATAGAAAATGAAAAAATCCACAAAAATAGAGATATCATTACCAAATGAACAAACTCGAGAGAAGACCAGTCCATGTGTCTACATTATGAATTTCAAAGCAATGTGACAGGTGGTTACAGAGAAGAAGTCGAAAATGCACGAAAAAAAAATTTAAAAATGCAGTTGCATATGGTACCATGAAAACAATAAGTCTGAGTGTAATCCATATCAACAACATTTATGTCAAAGCAATCTGACAAGCAGTTGTGGGGAAAAAAACAAATTTTAACTATAAGGCCAGACTTTTTTATTCCATGTTTTTTTTGAGGGCGAAAAAAAAATTAATCATTTTTTACCATTAGATTTGTGTGATTCTCAAAGAATTGTAAGTGAGATCATTGATCGGAGAGAAGAAATGAAACAAGTCATTGAAAATGACACAGTCCCTGTTAAGTTCTCTTTGTGCTCGTCATATTAAAGCGGACGGGTTGTCGCGAGCATGTCTTTGAAACTTGAGTTCCAAGTGGCGTATACAACAGATTGTTTATTTACATCAAAACATGTGTTTCGTGTCATAGTAATATGGCCAAAATAAAAACAGTCGTTATTCAGCCATCTTTGATCTGATTATGAAACACACAGATATGTATGATGTATGTGCCAAATACGAATGAAAATCGTACATAATTGTGGAAATATAGTAGTAAGGCCAAAAAGTCAGATGGCTGTCAATCGGCCATCCTTGACCAGATTTTGAAACGAATTGTCATGGACATGCATCCTAACATGTATAAAGTACATGTATGTGCCAAATTTGAATGAAAACTGACAGAGCACCTCCAAGATACTGCATAAAAAAACAAAAACAAGATGCCTGCCAGTCGACCATCTTTGATCCAATTGCAAAATAAATCGTCATGGACATGTATCCTAACATGTATAATCTATGTACCAAGTTTGAATGACAACTGACAAAGCATGTCCAAAATACAACATTTTCAAAAAACAAAATGGCTGCCAGTCGGCCATTTTGAATCGAATCGCTAAACCACTGCATGTGCATATGTCCCACATAAAGTACTAGGGACATGCAAAGAATGAATAGAATCGGTCCAAGGGATTCTGAGATATGATTCCGGATGGACGCACGGACACACGGACGGACGGAGACCGAATTATAAGTCCCCGTTTTCGAACTTCGTCCGAACGGGGACTAATAAAATTTTATTCCATGTATAACCTTGTTTCTCATCTGTGCGAGACTTCAGTACTTTGATCATGATACTCCCACAAAAATGCAATTTGGATTTGTTATGCGACGGGCGATAACAAAATTAAGATAAAAATAACATTTTTTTAGCAATTTTTTGCTAGTCGGCGGGCGCGAGAAATTACTCTGAAATAACATTTTATTTTTATTTCATTTTCGGCTCTTGTTCGTTCGGCGGGTTCGCGAAACAAGGGATAATAAAAGTCTGGCCTAAATGACAAAAATGGGTCCAACTGAGGTGCTTACATGTGTAATACCAAAGCAACGCAACTTGTTTTTAACAAGAAGTCAAAAATATCACTTTTTACAAAACATTTCATCAAAATTAGAGAATTGAATATATTATCTGAGAGAGGTTTACCTGATGTGCCTATATGTATAATATAAAAGCAATCAAGCTTTTACCAAAAATGAAAAAATATTCACTAAAATTAGAGAATTAAAGATACAGTCATGAAATGAATTAATCTAAGAGAGGTCTGCCCAAGGTACATATACACCAAGTATCAAAGCAATAAGAATTGTAGTTCTCAAGAAGAAGTTGAACAAATAAAAAGACAGACTACGGACAATCACTCATATGATAAGCTCCACTCGACAAAGTCAACAGCGGAGCTAAAAAACAAGTCATGAGCACCAGTTGTTCGATACTAAGTGACACTGAAATGAACAGTTTTGAATCAGAATTAGAAATAAATGCGTGTTAGTGAGTGTAAAATGTAGCTGTAAAGTCAGTAATAATACAATCAGCCAAGGCATGTTCATGTATTTGATGTATGCACAATATGAATACGATTGGTCAAGGCAAAAGAAATTGCTCCTGAACACCATCTGTTGACAGAAAATAGCTACCAGTCAGCCATTTTGAATCAGAACTTGAAACAAATGCATAGTAAGTGTCACCTAAAGTGCAATGTCGATTAATGCAATCAGCCAAAGAAAATCAGTGACATGGTGAAAGAACAGCATTCATTGTGAAATGGAAAAGAAGAAATGCTTGATTTTTTAAAAATTTAAAAGTCACCATTTGGCCATCTTGAATCTGATTGTCAAACTAATAACTGTGCATATGTGCATGATGTAAATGTATAAACACTGTATAAAGTTTAAACATGATCAGTCAAAGCATGTCAGATATTGCTCATGAACAGCATAGAAAATGGTCGCAAGTCACTCATTTCATAACCAATTTGAAGAAAAAATTGATGTGCATCAAAGTCCATAATGTCTAATGTATGTACTGGAATGCCAGAAATACTTAATTTTGATGCGTTTTCAGCACAAAAATGACCAACATTAAGCCATCTTAAATGAGATTGTGAAACAAACTGATGTGCATATATACAATATTATGTATGATGGATGTGTTTGTTTCCGAACGGGGACTAATAATAATGTCAGATACATGGACGGTCAAGACAAGCTGCTGTTTCTGACTTCGCCCGAGAGGAACTACTAAACTAAACTTCAGAAATTTACCTTTCTCACTGACACTTTCACTTTCAATTTCAACATCTTCACAGCTTGTGCATTCTGGTGTTGATCTGATTTCTTCATCTGAGCTACTCAATGAAAGCTGTCTTGCTTTGCGTGATCCTTTCTTATGTTTGTGTGGTTTTGGCGGGGGTGGTCTAACACACTCTGACTGATCAGAGCTTAACGAGTCATTTCGTATCATTGTATCAGCTTTCCTGGATGGTGTTCGTCGCGTTTTATTCACTGCTGCTGAACTAGGATCTAAATGTTGTTTATACGGGGATATATCAAGAGGCCTGCTCTCGAGTTCCCGTTGTCGGGTTGGACTACGTTTTTGGTTTTCAACGTCCTCTATAATTGTTATACTATGTCTATGGGAGGGTCTTGGAGTGTGTCCCGTTGATGGAGCAAACTCTC